GCGCAACTGTCGCCACTTTCGTGGGCTCCTGGGAGGCCCAGACGGAGGTACGCCCAACGCGGATCACCTGGGGACCTCGCCGCCCCCTGGGGGGCTGCGATCTGCGCAATTGTCGCCACTTTCGTGGGCTCCTGGGAGGCCCAGCGGAGGTACGCCCAACGCGGATCACCTGGGGACCTCGCCGCCCCCTGGGGGGCTTGCGATTTGCGCAATTGTCGTCACTTTCGTGGGCTCCTGGGAGGCCCAGCGGAGGTACGCCCAACGCGGATCACCTGTGGACCTTGCGGCGCCCCTTGGGGGGCTGCGATCTGCGCAACTGTTGCCACTTCCGTGTGCTCCTGGGAGGCCCAGCGGAGGTACGCCCAATGCGGACCACCTCGGGACCTCGCGGCGCTCTGGGGGGCTTGCGATCTGCGCAACTGTCGCCACTTTCGTGGGCTCCTGGGAGGCCCATCGGAGGTACGTCCCACGCGGACCACCTCGGGACCTCGCGGCGCCCTGGGGGGCTGCGATCTGCGCAACTGTCGCCACTTTCGTGGGCTCCTGGGAGGCCCAGCGGAGGTACGCCCAACGCTGATCACCTGGGGACCTCGCGGCGCCCTGGGGGGCTGCGATCTGCGCAACTGTCGCCACTTTCGTGGGCTCCTGGGAGGCCCAGCGGAGGTGGGTCCCACGCGGATCACCTCGAGACCTCGCGGCGCCCTGGGGGGCTGCGATCTGCGCAACTGTCGCCACTTTCGTGGGCTCCTGGGAGGCCCAGCGGAGGTACGCCCAACGCGGATCACCTGGGGACCTCGCGGCGCCCTGGGGGGCTGCGATCTGCGCAACTGTCGCCACTTTCGTGGGCTCATGGGAGGCCGGCCCAGCGGAGGTACGCCCAACCCGGATCACCTGGGAGGACCTCGCGGCGCCGTTGGGGGCTTGCGATCTACGCAACTGTCGCCACTTTCGTGCGCTCCTGGGAGGCACAGCGGAGGTACGTCTCACATGGGCCACCTTGGGACCTCGCCGCCCCCTGGGGGGCTTGCGATCACTTTCGTGGGCTCCTGGGAGGCCCAGCGGAGGTACGTCCCACGCGGACCACCTCGGGACCTCGCCGCCCCCTGGGGGGCTTGCGATCTGCGCAACTGTCGCCACTTTCGGTGGCTCCTGGGAGGCACAGCGGAGGTACGTCCAACGCGGATCACCTCGGTACCTCGCCGCCCCCTGGGGGGCTTGCTTGCGATCTGCGCAACTGTCGCCACTTTCGTGGGCTCCTGGGAGGCCCAGCGGAGGCACGTCCCACGCAAACCACCTCGGGACCTCGCGGCGCCCTGGGGGGCTGCGATCTACGCAACTGTCGCCACTTTCGTGGGCTCCTGGGAGGCCCAGCGGAGGTACGCCCAACGCTGATCACCTGGGGACCTCGCGGCCCCCTGGGGGGCTTGCGAAACTGTCGCCACTTTCGTGGGCTCCTGGGAGGCCCAGCGGAGGTACGTCCCACGCGGACCACTTCGGGACCTCGCCGCCCCTTGGGGGGCTTGCGATCTACGCAACTGTCGCCACTTTCGTGGGCTCCTGGGAGGCCCAGCGGAGGTACGTCCCACATGGACCACCTTGGGACCTCGCCGCCCCCTGGGGGGCTTGCGATCTGCGCAACTGTCGCCACTTTCGTGGGCTCCTGGGAGGCCCATCGGAGGTACGTCCCACGCGGACCACCTCGGGACCTCGCCGCCCCCTGGGGGGCTTGCGATCTGCGCAACTGTCGCCACTTTCGTGGGCTCCTGGGAGGCCCAGCCGAGGCACGTCCCACGCGGATCAGTCGGAGGTACGTCATACGCGTTTCTTTCAACTTCCCTGTGATTCCATGTTGTATAGTTGCCGTGCCTCATCTTGCTGCGCTCTTCTGAAATCACTGTTGGATGCTCTTCTTGCGCACTGCGGGTCCTTCAGAATGCCAGGCAGCATTGAGTGGTCCTGAGTATAATCGCCATATGTATATAACGGGTTGGGTACGTCACAGGGTAATGTTATTCTTCTTGCTTACTCCTCCTCCTTCTCCTCCTCTTCCTCCTCCTCCACCTCCTCGAGGAGGAGGTGCACCCCCAGTAGATCTACAGACATGCGACGACAATTGTCCGAGCTGGGCAGTGCGGCACCTCGGCTCACAACCTTCGCGTAATTCCACCGGCCCATCCAGAGACGATGCCCAGGCGAGCTGTCAGGAGAAGGGAAGTGTATGAGCGTGTGGTGGAACACTGAAACCGACAATCGTGAGCTAAGAGATCTCTTTGAGGCCTCTGGGAGCCATCTCGGTGCTCTTTTAGGGCCCTTGCGTAGCCGATCCGGTGCCGCACCACCATCAGCATTCCTGGTCGGGGCACCACAGCAGCAAGCAACAATACTTCCTCACCCCTGCTTCCATGAGATCCTGGACGTCCTACTGCTGCTCCATCATCTCTCCCTCCTCCCTCCCTCCTCCTCTCGTCACCGCGGGGTCCCCAGCGTGAGCTGGCCTGAGGTGTTCCCGACGAAAGAGGGGCATGTGTACAAGGAGATCCGCAAAGGCATCATTGCCGCCATCCTGCACACCGACATGACCAAGCATGGCGAGATGATCAAAGACCCCAGTCTGAGGAGGAGGAGGAGGAGGAGGAGGAGAAGCAGGAGGAGGAAAAGGAGGAGGGAGAGGAGGAGGCTGAGGAGGAGGAGGCAGAGCGGGAGGAGGAGGAGGCGGAGGAGGAGGAGGAGCACGAAAAGGAGGGGGAGGAGCACGGAGAGGAGAAGGAGGGGGAGGAGGAGGAGGAGGAGGAGGAGGAGGAGGAGGAGGAGGAGGAGGAGGAGGAGGAGGAGGAGGAGGAGGAGGAGTAGGGGGAGTAGGAGGAGGAGTGGGACGACGACGACGACGAAACGCGGCGAGATGATCCAGGATTCTCGGCCGACGGCGCCCTGGACCGAGGCTGCACGCCCGGAGGTCCGGCGGCCCAGTCCCTGCCCCCCCGTGGTCGCGAGGCTGTCGGCGGGGCAGGGTTTGACGACGATGACGATGACAATGACGATGACGATGACGATGACGACGACGACGATGACGATGATGATGGTGGTGGTGGTGATGATAATGGTGGTGGTGATGATGATGATGATGATGATGATGGTGATGCTGTTGATGAGGATGATGATGATGATTGTGATAATGGTGATGATGATGATGATGATGATGATGATGATGATGATGATGACGGTGATGGGGAGGGGGACGGTGATGATGACGGCCATGGTGATGGTGATGATGATGGCAATGATGATAACGATGATGATGGTGATGGCGATGATGATGGTTATGATGATGTTGATGATGATAATGATTGCGATGGCGTTGATGGTGTTGTTGATGGCAATGATGCTACTGGTGCTTGTGATGATGACGGTGATAGTGGTGATGGTGATGTTGATGGTGATGATGATCATGATGGTGATGGTGGTGGTGATGGTGGTTATGATGCTGATGGTGATGGTGATGATGACGGTGATGATGATGATCGTGATGATGATGACGGTGATGTTGATGATGCTGTTGATGGTGGTGGTGGATGATGATGGTTATCATGATGATTACGATGATGGTGATGCTGATGCTGATGATGATGATGATGATGATGGTGATGGTGAAAGTGTTGATGACGACAGTGGCATGGGTGATTAGGATGTTGATTACGTTGGTGACGGTGAGGGTTATGGGAATGATGATGTTGGGAGTGCTGGTTCTGATGACGATGATGACGGTTTTGGTGTTGATTGTTATGATTGTAGTGATGTTGATGGTGATGATGATGTTGATGGTGATGATGATGACCACGATGACGTTGATGGTGGTGGTGATGATGGTGATGAGGCGGATGATGGTGGTGATGATGATCATGACGGTGATGGTGATGATGATGATGATGATGATGATGATGATGATGATGATGATGACGGTGATGGTGATGATGATGATGATGGGGATGATGATGATGATGATGATGATGATGATGATGATGGTAATGGTGATGCTGATGACAATGACGATGATGATGACGATGATAATGGTGACGATGGTTATGAGGATGAAGAGGGTGATGGTGACGGGAAGGTGATGATGGTGACGATGATGATAGTGATGGTGATGGTGATGATGATGATGACGATGATGATGTTGATGATGATGATGATGATGATGATGATGATGATGGCGATGGTGGTGATGGTAATGGGAATTGTGATGCTGATGCTGGTAATGGTGATGCCTGTCATGGTGATGGCAGTGGTGATGGTGGCGGTGGTGATGGTGATGATGGTGATGGTACTGTTGATGACGACGATTAATTTGCTGATGATGATGTCCGCATTCTGGATCATGGTGATGATGATCATGCTGGGGATGTCAGTGGTAGTGATGTTGATGGTGATGATGACGACAGTGATGATGTTGCTGATGATGGGTGTGGTGGCCATGACGATGAAGATGGTGATCATGGAGATAGTGATAATGGTTATGAGGACAAGGATGATGATGACGATGGATATGATGCGGTTGTGATTGTGAGGCTGATGATGATGATGATGATGCTGGCGATGTTGATGACGATGATTCCGATGGTGATGATGGTAATGATGATGCTGATGGTGATGTTGATGGTGATAATGATGATGATGATGCTGGCGATGGTGGCGGTAATGGTGATGGTGCCAATGCTGATGCTGATACTGGTGATGATGGAGATGATCTTGGTATTGGTGTTTGTGCTGGTGATGATGATGTTGTCGGCGATGGTGGTGGTGGTGATGATTCTTATGATGTTGATGGTGGTAGTGGGCATCATGATGGTGATGACGGTGATGATGCTGGTGGTGATGATGATGGACATGATGATGTTGATGGACGATGGTGATGCTTGGTATGATCATGATTGCGATAATGACGATGGTGATGGTGATGGTGTTGCTGGTGATGCTGATGGTGAGGGTACTGGTGGCGATGCTGGTGGTGATGCCGATGGCAATGATCACGTTGATAGTGGTCATGGTGATGGCGATGATGATGGTGGTGGTGATGACTGTGATTATGGTGAGGGTCGTGGTGGTGACGATGATGATGATGACGGTGACGGTGATGGTGGTGATGGTTGTGATGATAATGGGGATCATGATGCTGATGCTGGTGGTTGCAGTGGGGGTGATGATGGCGATGCTGATGGTGATGGTGCTGCGGATGGCGATTGGGGTGATGGTGGTGATGCTGATGATGCTGATGGTGATGGTAATAATGGAAATCGCCATTGCGATTGTAAAAGTGACGGTGATGGTAACGATGATGTTGATACTTGTGGCTTTTGCGATGTTCATGGTGGTGTTGGTGATGGTGGTTGGGGTGGTGATGATGATGATGGTGACGGTAGTGTTGTTTGTGATGACGACGGTGATTAGTATGACGATGGTTATGATGATGATGGTCATGATGGTGATGACGATGATGATGGTGGTAATGGTGATGGTGTGTTGATAATGGTGATGACGACGATGTGGCGATGCTGATAATGATGGTGATGGAAATGCTGATAATGATTGCGGTGGTAATGATAATGCTGGTGATCGACAATGAGGTTGCTGGTAGCGATGCTTGTTGTGACGGTGATGCTATTGACGACGTTGTTGTTTGTGAAGATGAGTACGATGCTGATAATGGTGTTGATGATGGTGGTGGTGAGGATGATGATGGTGATGGTGATGATGATGACGATGACGATGATGATGATGATGATGATGGTGAGAATGATGCTGGTGATTGTGATGGGGGAGGTGATGACGATGGTGATTGTGAAGGTGCTTCTGGGGATGCTAGGAATGATGGTGTGATGGTGATGACGAGGGTGATGGTGATGAGGATGATGACGATGATGGCGATAATGCTAATGATGATGGCGATGGTGGTGCTGATGGGGATTGTACTGATGATATGGATGCTGGAGGTGATTACGACGTTTATGATGGTACGGTCTTGGTGATTATGGTCATGATGATGGTGATTGTCGTGAGGATTATTACAATGTTGTTGGTGGTGGTGTTGCTGATCATGATGGTGATGCCGGTGATGATGATGGTGATGATGGTGGTGGTGATGATGGTGATGATGATGACGACGGTGGTGTTGGTGATGGTAATGATGATACAATTGCTGATGAGGATGACGATGGTGATGGTGATGGTGGTGATGGTTGTGGTGATGGTGATGGTGATGATGATGATGATGATGATGATTCTAATGATGAGGATGGTGTGGACGATGCTGGTGTTGATGGTAGTGATGACGATGGTGATGGTGAATGTGCTGCTGCTTCTGATGACGACGATGATGCTTATGCTGAGGCTGCTGCTGCTTATGGTGATGCTGATGGTTGCGATGATGACGATGTGGAGGAGGAGGATGCATATGCGGATGATGATGATGATGATGAGGATGAGGATGAGGATGAGGATGACGATGACGATGATGATGATGATGATGATGATGATGAGGAGGATGACTATGTGGATGGTGATGATTCGGATGATGATGATGATGATGATGATGATGATGATGATGATGATGATGATGATGATGATGGTGATGGTGATGGTGATGGTAATGCTGATGATGGTGATATTGCTGCTGATGATGATGGTGGTAATGGTGCTGGTGATGATGCTGCTGCTGATGATGAGTATGATGATTTTGATGATGATGCTGCTGCTGATGATGCTGATGATGCTGATGGTGTTGATGATGGCTGTGGTGGGTGATGATAATGCTGATGAGGATACGATTATGATGCTGTGGATGACGAGGAGGATGAAGTCCAGGAAGAAAATGATGACGATGAGGATGAGGAGGTCCAGGGAGAGGAAGAGGATGATGATGCTGATGCTGATCAAGATGAAGATGATGATGATGATGCTGATGCTGATGCTGATGCTGATGCTGCTGATGATGATGATGATGATGGTGATGCGATGGTGATGATGATGATGGTGATGATGATGCTGATGATGATGTGGCTGCTGCTGATGATGATGATGCTGATGATGATGATGATGATGATGATGATGATGATGCTGATGCTGATGCTCATGCTGATGATAATGATGATGATGAGGATGATAAGGAGGGTAAGGAGGATAAGGAGGAGGGGGATGATGATAAGGAGGATGAGGAGGAGAAGCAGTAGGAAGAGCAGGAGGATAATCTGTTCGACGTCGGCGAGGGATGATGGGCAGAGGGGCCTGGCGGGGAGAGGGCGAGGCGGAGGAGGGGAAGGACGAGGAGGATGAGGAGGGGAGGAGGAGGAGGAGGAGGAGGAGGAGGAGGAGGTGGAGGAGGAGGAGGAGGAGTAGGAGGAGGAGAAGGAGCAGCACGGACGGGGAGGCCGTGACTCCCCCGCCCCGCGGGCGTGCCCGGAGGCCCTCCGGAGGCTCGGCCTGCGGGCAGGCCTGCCCAGGGCGAGCCTCTGCCTGGCAGTCCGTGTCAGGTGATGGGCCTGTGTTCCACCACAACCACCACCATAAGTTGGAGGGAGGAGGAGGAGGAGGAGGAGGAGGAGGAGGAGG